AGCAAAAATCAGTGAGCACCACCATGACACTCACAAGCACGACACACGCAGCTACCATGTACAAGACAACAGGTAGCTTATGCTAAGAGGCCAAAGGTTCGTGGAATACTTCACCCACAAACTTAGTTATTCAAACGTCGATGCCTTCACAGGCACCAGAGCTTTCCAGCACCATCTTTTCTGGAGCAAAACAATATTAACACATGTGCACATTAATTACAATCCTAGGTATTATCTCTTATACTCAATCCCAAAAATTATTATTGAGAAATGTTCTGCAGCTGTTGTATTTATACTGTTCTCAGATCAGTCAACAAAGCAAACAAACAAACAAACAAAAAAAAACTAAATTGTGTGTAAATGTAGTACTGCTGAGACACTTAACCCTTTGCACACTAGCAGTCCAGGAACTGGGACCAGGCTGTATCTGTTGATCTGTTGTGACCTGCTACTGGCATTTTATGTGGCTTTTCAAATCTTCCCAAAAGGCTGAAACTAATTTCTGTGCTTCATTTAGACAAATCAGTGCTGCCTAAATTTATTCAAACTGCAGTTTTAAAGATTTAGAACTTTAGAACTGTAGTTAAACTTCTTCCAGTGTGAAGTAATTGGTAGCTTGCAAAACCTTGCTTTCAAAGAAGCTTCCCCAACCCTGTAAATGAAAAACATCAGACTTTCCTCCTCTCCCTCACTATGCTTATTATTCACAATACATATTAAAATAGGAAAGCAGATCATGCAGTGAAAAACGTTTCTAATAAATACATATCTGCTATTTTTTAACTAGATGGTGAATCTTAAAATAAATAAAATCTAAGTCTTTATATAAATATGAAATCTAAATCACAGTAATTAAAGGGTAGGTCTGGATGGTAAAAAACATGACTCCTTGCTCAAGGGTCTTAGGTTAAGGAAACTGGGATGTACCCTTGGACTTTGACTCCTTCCCTGAGGTGCTTCTCATTAGCTTATTACACACCTCTTCACTCTGTGCTCCTTGGGTGACTCAGAAATTATTCAAGTCAACAATCATGAAGGACGTCTCAATTTCTGTTCAGAAGAGGGAGGATGCTGCCTGGAGTCGATTTGAGCTAGGACACGAGAAACCATCTTTCTCTTAAGTCTCAACAGTCCAACACACCCATTTAATATAATTCTGTGACTGGATACTGCAGCTGATCGGAGTGATCTGATGTTATATTGCTGCAGTTTTATACTGGAACAAATAGGAAATTCAGCTCAGGTGTAACATCATCAAGACATTTATTGGTTAATTTAATACTAAATGATTTCAATTTTTGGGTTAGGTATTTCATTATTTTTGGTGACACAGCCTCTCTATAACCAATTCACCCATGAGATATTTTGTGTGCATGTGAGTGAGTGAGTCCACACCTGGGTTTGTCTAGGTGTCTTGGAATCCGGCCCTGTTGCTAATCAACTGTACCTATTAGAGAATCTGTGAATATGCTTATTAGTCTGAGTCTGTATGTGTGTGTGTGTCCACTTGTGTAGGAATGCTGCTGCTTCTCAAATGAGAGACACAAAGTATGTGAGAAATCTGCACCTGGATACAATTAAGCAGCTTTCACTTTCAATGACTTTCCAGGCTGGAAGATAGTCTCCCTGTTCTTTTCTGTTCTTTGTTGCTGTCTCTGCATTTAGCATCTTTTATGTTTTCTCATGAAAATGTCCTCTTCATCCCTACATAATGTTTCTGCTGCTTTCGCCATCATCAGTATACCTGCAGGTGTTTCTGAGAATCTTTTCTATTTTACTGTCAAAGACATCCTTTTGGATATTGTACTCTTGAAGTCATTATAGTTTCATAAGACATCATAATTTTAGGACATGATTTACTGGCCCTCAAAGATTCAGGACAGGTGATGCATCCAGATTTAATTTTAGATAGGGACTGATTACTTGGGCCCTTAAAACCTGGGGATATAATTTCATTCTCCTGAGATAAATTTCATCTAAAATGTGAGCTCAGAACATCAGTGACTTCTTAAGTCCAGTGGGCAGTTTAGGGAATATAACTGTGGAAGAGGATGAGGGTCTCTTTAAACATTTTATTTGAGTTTAGACTTTTTAAACTTTCGTTTTATTTTATTTTATTTTTTAGAATTCTGTCTTTGATCCCAGAATTGTGAAAAAAAAAAAAACTCACTTCAGTTTCTTACAGTGGCCCTAATCCTCTTCTGTACATAACAGAGCTATAGCAATCATTGGAATTTAGTAAAGACCTGTGTGTTCGGTGTGAACGGAAATCACATTTATGATTTTGACAAGTCTCACAGGGTGAGACGTGGTAAACAAAAATGCAAAATATCTTGTGAGTATTATAACACCTAGCTTGGCAAAGAGAAAGCAAAAGAACATCAGAACGAGAGATGTTAATTATACTGCAGGCCTTTGGCTGTCAGCATGAGAAAGAGTGGGGCTCTCTGGCTGTTGATGTCACTAATCATGGGGTGTGACACAGCATGACACCCTGCTATCTCGATCTCCTCTAACACACAGTGCACACACACAAACGTACGTGAACACAGTACGCATTACAGCACACAATGACACATTCTAAATTTGTATATTCATCATAATAATAACTCCTTCTTTCACGCTCAACAAGACTATAAGAGATGACTGCTGCATGAAATGTTTCCTGCAGGCAATGTAAGATATTTTTCGTTTTCACCCCTTATGCACACAGATGGAATCTGCATAGCAGGCAAGAAAATGAGTAGAGAAATACAGGCAAATAAATGAATCATCAAGTAGAGTGTGTGCACATTGAGGTGCACCGAAGATTTATCTACCAACAGCTTCAATTGCATGTCAGTATGTGTTTGGAGCAACTTTCCTGTGAATAGAAACACCACAGGCGTTTCATAACAAATAGGTGGAGGATTAGAGAAGTGCAGTTTTGATGAAACTCAAAATGATCATCACTATAAATGTACCTGTCTCAGACAGTCAAGGCTATATTGCTTTGACTTGTCATCATCATTCTAAATGTGCACAAAGGTGCACTAAGGATTTCAGAGTTTGAGGAATATTGTTTTGAAAGTTGCTGAGGAAAACAGAATAATAGAAAAAAGAAAACATACACAACTATATTAGTCATTTCCTGTTTCTGCTTCAATGAAAAAAGCCTGCGAGCGAGTTCAGACAGTCAAATAAGTTTGCTGATACACACAAATGACATTCAATTCATGCTGTGCTGACCTTGCTGTTCCCTGCAGGGAGTGATGAGGTCCACACTGCACTTCTTCCACACCCTCACTGATCTGAGGTTTTTAAGATGCATTTGTCAAACCAGTATGGCTCATTTCAAAGATGGACCGTGGAGGTTCTCTGTGGAGGTACAACCCAGGATGGGAGTAGACCTGCCTGTTAGACTTAAGAGGCCGTGTTCTGTAGCACAAAAAGAGTGCGGCAATGAACAAGGCAACCCCAGCATTAACACTGGCCTGGCACATCAGAGATGGAGAGCATTAAAAGCATCTGAAGGACTAAACTTTGATGCAGATGTGGCTTTCTTCCTGCTAGACACATATATAGCTAGCTAATGTATCGTATATGTCAGCATCATCAGCAAGCTAATGTTAGCATTTCAGTTTTGTACATTTGTATTGAATTATTCTGGTTGTAATTTGGAGTCACTCCACCTGACTGCAGTGTTAGCATTTTGTTGTCCAATTAGCTGAAAACAGTGTGTTTTCCTTGATTAGCAGATTGAAGTCATTTTGCTAATTATTGCTTGGTTTTGGTTCACTTTGTGTCAGACATGACACAGCAGTCCATGTAACATTTTAGTTAGAAGATGTTAAAATTTACACCAACAACACAACTAGAAAAGTGCGAAGTTTGTTCAGCTATCAAAGCATAACGTAATTTCTCTTGTTTCACATATACGATTACCTTGTGTGTCAAGTATGTAGCACTGAAGACAATGCAATAGTGGCTAAAACATTAGTATTGTATCAATATTGCTGGGAAAAAAACATTCCTTTGTGTAATTTGCTTGTGCTACTGCTTTAGGTAGGAAAAAGGAGGTTAGTTGTTACAATAGCACAGGAAACACGGGCTCTATGGGATATATTCCATACGTGTTAGTTCTGGAGCCAGCCGACTATTACTGTCGAGTCTGTCTCTGGCTGTTGTGACCACATATGACATTGTTTCACATACAGGGCAGGAGGGGGAAGAGGAGGGGATACCGCTTGAATTTGTTTTGATTCTAACTTGCTCTCTAATGGTCAAAAGTAAGTTACAGCTGCTTTAATTTGAGCAAAACGGACTAATTAAGTCAACATAAGTTGGGTGTTTTTAATTGTTTGTTTGTGAAAATGGCTTTTTCTTTTTCTCCTTTTACATAAGACAGACTGCTTGAGGTTTTTAATTATTTATTTATTTTTGGATTTCTGCATCCCTTTCAGATGCAGGCGGCACTTTATCCTTCTCCGCTTGTAATATCTAAAGTCACATCCTATTCACCCGAGGCATGGAGTGAGGTATACGACTCCCATGGAAATAACATTGAACAAATATACAGAGTTTATTCCTTTATTGGGTTACAAAAGCATGATGACTTCCTTTCAAGACACTTTGGTTAGAAAAATGTTTTTTTTTTTCCAAAAGTCTGATTCCTAATAGCTGTATTTGCTTGTGTTTTTTTTTTCCTTTTTTAAACTGTGAACCCGTTGACTGACCATTGTTTTAATTTTTAAAACTCATTAACACCCCTTTAAAGTAAAAAAAACAACAACAATAATAATGTTTCCGGTGAATAAACTGTGACTAGATTCCAGTAATAAAACTACTGTGAAAATGGAAAAATGACAAAGAAATATTCAAATTCTGTTAAATTTCAAGCACTTAAAAACACCAACAGGAAATAATTTTTAAAACCGCAACAAATCAAAATATAATGAACTCAAATCTGGCTTTAAACAACATTAGCATCTACAGATTATTCAACATCATTTTGTGTTTGATTTTTTTTTTTTACACTCCTCAAAGTGTATAACACTTTCCTGGCACCCCACGTCTCCTTTGTAATACAAACATTGAGTGTCTATTTTTGCTTTTTTAAAAATAATTATTATTTTACAAATCTGTTATGACGTATAAAACATTTTTCTGAAGGTAAAACCTCCACTGAAGAGTGTTGTGCTATGTCCTAATTAACACAACATCTGGAAAAAAAAGACGCATAGATGAAGGAGGGAAAGAAAAGTACTCACGCGGTAGGTAACTAATTCAGGTACACTAAGGCATGATTTTTAGAAGAACAAACATTTTCACTGAGGAAGCGAAAAAAGCCTTTTATATACAGTACATAAGAAGTGGAGATATGTATGAAATCAGTAAAATATGTCCAGTTTTCTTGCTTGTATGACAATGTAAAGAAAGACAAGAGATCATACATTAGATTTGGTACCGTTTTAAAGCGGAAACTCAGAGTAGAAGAAAAATAGCACACAACCAATTTTGAAAGCAGGGAATGAACACTGCCTTAGTGTGGGCGCGTGGCCTCTGCTGTGAAATGAGTGCTCAGCTAAAGAGTGTGGTACATAATCTAAAGCTGACCTCTGGCATCCAGCAGCAGCAAAAATCCCATTTTGAGCAACAGCCTTCCAGTCACCTTAAAGTCAAATCACACCTTTGAACACTGCAGCTGGACCATGTGTGATGATGATGTTCAGTGCATTTCAGGACAAATGTTGTGAGGAAATATTGATACACCCACATTTCCCTCAACATAATTCAAGCACTTAGACTTAAGGATTTCCTATATTTTCTTGAAGTCTTTGTCACAATCAAGATACCTGAAATAGCTGAGATAGATAGGTAAGAGGACAGGGGTGAGATTTTTATATTGGAAGAAGGCACACAATGAACCCTTCAGCATCTGGCTGGGATGTGTTGTGGAAAACTGTTATTAGTTTCTCTTCTTCTTTGACAATTTTAAGTTGCAAGAGCTGGCGAGTTTAAAGGATATGCATATTTTTCTTATTGATGGCAAATCCCACAAAAGACAAAAAAAAAGAACCTTACAAAAAATTACTGCATGTGTAGTCAAAGTCTGATATACTGTGACTTATTATAACAACACAGCAACGACTTCACCTTCTCTTGCTCACTTGAAACAAGTTAGATGAGCACAGACATGACCAAAATGCTTCAATCCTTCATGTGAAATAACAAAAACAATTCAAACTTTGGCAGAAAATAATGCGCACAGTAGGTCTCATTCCTCAATGTAAGAAGTTGAATGAGAAAACATGTTTTTATGTGACGATACATTGTGCTTTTGTGGGATTTGAAGACAATAAGAAATGTCAGCCTTATTTTTTCTCTGTGCTCTCAAATATCCAATAGAACAGAATAGAGAAATGCAAAGTACATCATCAAAAGTCACTTTGTTTCCAGTGGTGAAATGTTTGGGTGTAGAATTTTCCTTTAAGGCCTACATACCAAACCCAGGCTGTCTGCTTTTTGACACTTCTGCCCACTACTGTCCAGGGTTTGCCACTCTAATTCCTGTTTACTTGACCCAATCTGAAAAGGAGAACTCTACAGCAGAACTGTGCAGCGACCACTGTAATCTTGACTTCCAATAAACACAGAAACTACTAACTGTGAATCTGTCAGTCACACCAAGTGTTTCAATCCCGCCTCCTTCCTGTGCTAGCCAGCAACAGTGAGAGGAGGCCAGCTTTCCCTTTATAGGCCATGTACAATCTACAGGGGATACGCCGTTCTCAACAAATTTAGAGCGAGTAGCTGCACTGCCCATTTCATTAAAACTGAATACAGCTGGAAATACATCACAGGAGTGGGTGGATTAGGCAGCACCAGCTCTAACAATAATTTGAAGAATATTCTCTCCAGATTATATCTGAATTTTTAAATCTTTGTTCTAGACTTTGTAGTATGTCAATAAATGTGCTATGAATGTCACAACAGTAAAATACAGTGTCAGGTCACTCAGTACTGTACATAGCCACATATTAGTGTGTCTGTGTGTTTTCTTTGTTGTCTAAGCTTTCATGCCAAGGCCAAAGTGAACATTTCTGTATCTGCCCTCTGATGCTTTGTGATAATTAAATATTGAAACTCACTATATGTTGGCCAAAAAACAAACAAACAAAAAAACAGTAGCAACAACTGTATAGTGTATGTACTGTATATGCATTTGTGAAAATGGTCATATGGCACAAAGACAAGACATGATGTGTTAAATGAGGTGTAGCAGCAATGCATGTTTGTTGTAGCCCAGTCAAACGCTGATTTAAACAGCAACTATTCGTCAAGGACAAATCAAATCAAACTATTTTTGACAAAGCTCTTTGCAGTGTATAAACAACAGTGTAAACTGTGTACTATGTCATAAAAACTAGCTATGCTACACAGAGCACTTTGTCCTTCCAAAACGGTGCAGAAATGTGAGAATGAGAGTGGGAACGTCCCAAAACAATATCAAATTATCATAGTAGTCACAAGCGTTTGTCCTCGTCTGCCACGTCTGTGCAAAAACATGTTCCATCAGCTATCAGAAAGCATGTAGGTAGTACATAGTCAGCAGTGGAGGTGAAGATATTGCACACGCAGACTAACAGCTCCATTGAAATGGCACAGCGCAGGCGTCACACTGAAGAATAAAGTTTATTTTTTCCACATAAATGAACACTATAAAAAATTCAAAAACACACCCCGTTGACGGCTTCTTTATTGCAGCACTTTTTTTTCAATATCTCTTTTTCAAACATCCACTTATTAAAAAATGTTGCAAGTCTGTTTGTAGTTTGTAAGGAGCAGTTTGAGAGTGCGTTTTGGCAGTAAGTAAAGTCTTATACGGGTCGGAGAACAGATGGGGCAAACCAGACAGCCATGACTTTTAAGGTCCGTAGAGTCTTCTGCCCCACACTGCCTATTTCTCACCACCAGCACAGTGGCGTGGTGATCACATGCCTGAGGCACCCAGCCCCATGCTGGCGGTGTGGCTCATGCAGGGCAGTGTCTGAACGGTCTTGGGGAAGTCGTGGGTGAGGATTCGTCCGTTCTCTCCGCCGCTCCCATTGCCACCCCTGGTCAGGGTGGAGCAGTGCATGGCGTCGTTGATGGATTGCTGTAGAAACAAAGAGATTTCAGTTAGTCTGCAGACCAGATATCTGTCTATCTCTCACACGTGCCTTACAGTATAGCCTAATCACAACAAAGGAAGCTTATGCAAGAGTTAGAGCAGCACACAGAATTAATATTGATTTTAGCTATAGAGGAATATAGAGAAACCTGTAGGACATAATACAATTTCTATGGTCCCTATATTGTATAAATATATGCACATAAGCAGCTGTTTATATCACTATCTCAGTGTGGTGCTGACACGCAAAGGCATTCGGGAGCAGAATGAGCTGTCAGGAGTCACAGGGCGCTGGTTTTCACAATCTTTATCTGGGCCTGAGTGATATTCGGGGGTGGTAAACCGCGCTGCTGGCCACTGTGCATTAGTAGCAGTAGGAGCAGAGAAGGAAGGGAGGTGACGTTTCACTCAGTGGTTTAATAGCTTCATTGTCCAGTCTAGCGCAGTCAAATCCACTGGGCTTCAAAGCTGGCCTAATGATGTCTAAGGCATGTGTGTTTGTGGGCACATGTGCTCTTTGGTGGCAGTATGCATCCCCCTATTCTATAGTTTATTAAATTAGGCAAATTGAGTGCGATCTGGAGCAACTGGTGAGTGTTGCATAGGGCCTGGAGATTTACACTGGCCTCTAATTGGAATGGTGTTACTGTTTTTTTATTCAGACCAAACAGCATAAAGACGCCACTGGACTAATATATTCCAGGTGCCACTTCATGGGCTGATTAAAACATATGAGATTCATGTAGAAGATCACTCCTCATCTTGGCCCTGTCTTGCTTTTTTACTGTCTACATGAAGAGTGTATCAGTGCACCTCCAGGGGCTTTGATGTTGGAAGAATGAATAAAGGTTGTAGTAAATTGAACCATGCAGCAGATGACTAACAGCTACAGTTCCACTCATTTTGGAGGAGAAACCTCACATCTCCCACTAAAGAATAAAGCAACAAGTCTATACTTTGAGATTTCTGCACATAAAACATTTTGAGATAGACTATTCTATGTTAAAGCAGTAATGGAAACATGTGAGCCGCACCCGGCCTGCCTTATGGTATAACATATAAAGGATGTTCACCACAATGGGCCCTGCATTTGCAAGACAGTCAGCAAAAAGAGAGGAAGGAGCAGGGAAGAGATCTGCTCAGAGCGACAGATGTAGATAGATGTACCACTGTGATTCAAATTGCCTTTATACTTGTTCTGCATGGGAAAATGCCTTCATTTGTGAATATGTTCTACACAATTCGAGATTAAACTAGGGGCCTGAGGAATATTTCTAATAAGAAAGTGAAATGTGTATTTAACAAAGCAGATATACATACATCATGAAACAGTGCAATGGGAAGTGTTTTCTTTCACTGAATTCTAGAGGGAACTTTAAAGGCAAACTAATGAAGAACAGTATATGGTAACCAGTCCTGGCAATTAACAGATCCGGTTGGCTGTGCTTCAAGTGTAAACCTCAGAACATGAACACATGAAACAGACATAAGGGCAATTTAAAATCAAGTGATTCGACAGCACTGCAGGTCAGTGACGTAAAGACTGAGTGAGGGAGCGGCAGAGGTAGAGAGAGGTACAGGAGAGCATTTGCACTGCGGTGGAAGCCTTGAAAGGCCCTACTGTGATCACGGTTAGATGGGCGGAAGTGAGGAGGTGGATGTCATCATCATCATCATCATCATTATCATCATCATCATCATGGCTTTATCAGAGCATTTCCTACCCCGTGGCTGTGCTCTGCCCTTATATCTTAACAGTGTTGTTGGCGTACAGGCCGTAGCTCTGCAGCTCTGTGTAGGGGGCACTAGCACCACTGTCTAAGGCTGAGCAGTGAAAGGCCTGAGCGGCTGTGGCGGCAGCAGCTCGCGCGGTGGACACCTTCATTCGGCTCGACTCGGCCCTGGACTTGTAGCAGAACTCCACCAGTGCCACCAGCATGGCCAGGCCCAGGCCACCGATCAGGATGTAGAAGACTCCCGCCACATTGCTGAGGCTCAGAGCGCTTGTCTTGTCCTGGAGGGTGGAGGGGGGGGGACAGCAAAGTAGTGAGGAGTGACAGTCAGGCAGAGCACTAAAATAAGACCGTAGATGTAAATACACTACATATAACGACAGACACTGATTCACACACATGTAACTGTAGACAAACATTAGTCTCACAGGAATCAAGAAGAATCACAAGTGCAAGGACTCAAATGCATTACAACCAAATGACACACAAGCATACATAAACCCATACATACCTAAGAGTACACATTCACACTCACATACAGCATACAGATGAGTCAAACAAATTAGACACACACAAAGTCCATTCATACAGTAGATTTAAAGCACAGAACACACACAATGCCACACAAAAACAAAACAGTAACAATAAACATTCTTTTGAGGCCTGTCTCACAAGGTACTGTAGGATTTGATATTTTAGAAGGATAGCTTTGGATGTTTCAGTTTCACAAAAATAGTTAGCATTGAACCTAAGTTTTGTCCTTACACGCATTATATAATAATAATAATAATAGATGGAAGTATCATAAAAACGCTAAGTATTCTGACTGTGCTCCTTCTAATGAGAATGGATCAGTCTTTTAATTAAAAAGAAGAAGGTCTACACATATAAAATGAGCTAACAGTGATTTATTCATGCTACATTTAGATGACTTTGAAACTTTTTCGTTGTTCCTCATATTTATTTCCCATGTAATTTTTGTTCTTGATAAGAGAAGAAGACAAACCTATTTATGTCTATTTATGTCCCACCTCTTGTTCAACTGTGTCGGTTACCAGCTTTGTGAGACTCACCTCCAGAACCACACGGGCTCCAGGAAAAACAGATATTTGCTTTGGACATGTGAGACAGGCTCCAGATATAGATAGACACTGCTTTATATTTCACGACTGACAATATTTATGCATTTCTCAACATTTAAAACAATGTCTGTAAGTGAAAATTCTCCTACTCATAATTACATTTTGTGAGGGAGGACTTAGAGACAATATGTATAAACACCACACAACACATGCAGTCATGCAGCAACAGCACAAAGTCTTTAGTTTGACATTGTGTCATCGTTCTTTATCGCAATGGCACCTACTTACATTTATGTGTATTTATAGTCAGTAATGACAGTGAATAATTATGTCTTAAATCAGCCAGCCAACAGGCTCTCATGGAACAACACGGAATAACTAGAATGATATTTCATGTAAATCTGTTTAGGGAATACCTTTGTGTCACTAGAAGAATTTTAATGCCACATGGAAAGTTATTCTGCTCACGCTTTATTATGCCCCAGCCCCAGTGATCTCTAGACACTAATGAAATTCCAGCTTTTATTTATCTGTTCACTTAGATAAATACAGTACACTTGAACCCCATGGGCAAATTTGCATTTGAATATATTTAGTCTATGTTTGGGCCAAATACATTCTGCTGTATACAGTACAGTGGTATTATGTGGTATAAAAGTGCTTCTAATGCTAGGGAAAATGTGTTGTATTATGAAGAAATGAGGTGAATGTCTTCTTCTAGTCTGATTTTATGTTCATCACCTGGATATATACTGCTAGACTTGCACCAAGTTACCTACCAAGTTACTTATAATATTTTTTGTCAAATTGTTTGTGTCAAACCTTCTATTTAATAATACAATTAATAGCAACCAAAATAAAATGCTACCGTCAAGCAGCTCAGAGCTGTTTAGAGTTTCAGGTTGTTTCATCTGGATGCTGTGGCAGACTGTGTTAAGTGACAATGGTTTTCCAAAGTGTTCCCCAGCCCATGTGGCTAAATTCATAAATTCTAAATGTGTTTCTAATGCAATTAAGTTGGTCAGTAAAAACACGGAAAACCATTCTTTGTACTTTTGTCAGTGAAACAAAGGTTCAAGCAAATTAACAAATCACAAATTTAAATTTTTATTGCATTCTGGAAAATTGGGTTTGCATTGGGGTGGCTTAGTTAGTGGGTTAGTGCTGTCGCCTCACAGCAAGAATGTTCTGGGTTCGAGCTGCGGCCGACCCAGGGCCTTTCTGTGTGGAGTCTCCATGTTCTCCCTGTGCCTGTGTGGGTTCCCTCCGGTACTCCGGCTTCCTCCCACAGTCCAAAAGCATGCAGCTTAGGTTGACTGGCGACTCTATATTGCCCTAGGAGTGAGTGTGTGGTTGTTTGTCTCTAAGTGTCAGTCTTGTGACAGACTGTCCAGGGTGTACCCTGCCTCTCGCCCAATGTCAGCTGGAATAGGCTCCAGACCCCCTACGACCCCCTTCAGGATCAAGCGGTATAGGCAATGGATGATTTTGTATTGTCAAGACTTTGATGAGAAGATTTTTATTCCTTTTATCACATGTGGCTTTACTGAGGTTTATGTGCAAGACTATTTCTTGGCCACTTTGGCTTTTGTATAACTTAAACAAGTGTTGGACAGAACCAAGCTAGCTATTTCCCTGTTTGTAGTCTTTATGCTCAGCTAATCTAACCATCTGTAGTGACACAGCTAACATATAGATATGAGAGCTTTATCAAGCCTCTCATCAAAGTTTCAGCAAAAAAGTGAACAAGCATATTTTCCAAAATGCCAAATTATCCTTTGATAAGAATTATGTTCCCAAATAAAGTTGTTAATCAGGAATTTAAAATTTCACCAAACCACACTTAAACATAAATTTGTGAGATCGGTCTGTCCACTGCCAGTGTCTTCTATTGAATCACTCCTTAAATTGAACGCCTCTTTAGCAAGCTCTCAAAATATATTCAGCAAATATTTATAAAATGGGACAGCCCATCATGGCACAGGGTCTGACATCCCTGCCCTTAAATATCTAGATATGAGCAGGGGAACGGAAGACAAGATTGTGTAGTGACAGGATCAGCAGGCTGGCTGATGATTCAAGCACATACAGAGGAACCGGAGCCAAAGAGCAAAAGCTTTTTTGTCAGGGAGAATTACTTCTTGAGACAGTGGAAGAACCGAAAATACAGGCAATCAGAGTGGCCGACTGTCTCTGGGCTGATCTAGGAGATTGACAGGGTCAATACATGTACACTGTGCAGTGAAAGAGATGGGGTATGATTATTATATGAGCCAGAAAGCAAAGGCTATGCAACATGTTTGAAGGGTTCAGCAAAATTCAATAGCCTCATGTTATTATCTCTCACCATCATGTTCTTCTGCATCTCATTTGCTTATTCTTTTTTTTCTCCTTGGGAAGGAGATCTATACAAACTACTTTCAGAGTGATTCATATTGAAACAAACTAACTAAAATATATAGTATAATAATATATAATATAATAATGCCCAATCTGCATGTGTGTGTAGATGCAAAACAATTACAAAACCACAAAAATGAGGCAAAAAAAAGACTAAAAAGAGACAAAATGGAACCCAAAACACAGCAAAATGACTACAAAGGTATACCAAATAACAAAAAGACATAACAACTACAAAGAAATGCACAACAAATAAAATATAGTTGCAAAATGACTATAAGGAGATACATACAAAACGAGTAAGCACGAACACACAATGATTAAAAACAGATACAAAAAAATCAAAGCAAACCAAAACCAAACACAAAGCAAACATAAAAAGCCACAAACCTACTCTAAATCATTTGCTCAATCTGAGTCTTGCTGCTTGAGCTTTAGGGGCCCCCTCATGTGTGCAACGGGCCCCATTGTCTCATAATGTGTCTATTATTAAAGCTGAAAAGCTTGTCTTTTTAGTAGATTGATTAAATGATTTATTATTATTTTCAGTCAGTGAACTGTTGATCCCAAACTGTTTTATTTATGCGTGCAAACACATTTTAGTATTACTGTTGATTATTTTGTTATTTAGTAATTAACTGTATCTTTATTTAAGTGTAAAAATACATGTTAGAAACAGTCTCAGGTCAATTTAATGTTTCTCATCTTATCATCCTAAAAGTTCTTTTTACAAAATAGGTGGTCATCTTATGTTTGGACCAATATGGCAGTACATGCCAGAGCCACATGGGGAGTTTTGCTCAGTGTAATAGAGGCTGAGGGCTGGACCTGGGGCTGGTCTAGGATCAGGGCAGGGTTGTGCTGGGAGGTGCTGTGAGGTGACAGGTTTGGGTTGAAGACTAACCTTTCTTCCGGCGTCCTTGCTGCCACACTCCCCTTTATCGTACCACCATTTGTTTTTCAGTTTGTCTAAGATGGCTTGCTCATTGAGTTTCAACACCGCTAGGTTTACTGGGATTCTTCCAACCATAAGGAAATAACATAAATAACATATTATACCATGTTATTTTATGTTATTAATTCAGAAACACAAAGCAGCAAATACATACTGTACACACATTGCTTGAGTTTGCTTATAGGTAAAAAATAAAAATAACTTCTCACACACCACACACACACACACACACACACACAACACACACATAGGTATATAGCATAAACATCATTAGAAACATCAGAGTCAAAGTGATATGCATTAATACTCCATCTAGCTTGGCTGTCTTGCTCCCTAAGGCAGTAGATGTGTATTACTATATCACTTTGGATAACCGGCACACTGCTTACCCTCACTTATATTATACAGGTATCTTAATTGTAAATAGCCACAAGATGTAAAAATGTGCAGTAAAGAGCCAAATTTGAACTAAACCAGACTAAACTATGCATCCACTAAATGGATGCATGCTGTCTCAAAATATCATTCAGCACAAGGGACTCAGCTGGTTTAATTAAAAGACACTGATCAATTTTTGGATTTGTTTAAGCACAGGAGATGATACAAAATTTCACCCTCAGTGGTTTTCACATTTAGCCACCGCTGGCCAAAGGATCATCTCCCTCCGTTGCTCATTCCCGCTGCGATTCCCCAGACCGCAGAGAGATTAAGTGTTGCCGGGTAATGCAGTGTGGGATTGCCGGTTACTCCCCTCCCCACAACCCCCTCCACGCCCAGTGGTGGTGGGTTACCCGCAGGGTTTATCAAACTGGCTCTGACCTTGGAGTCCCCGCCCCCGCTGCCGCACTCTCCCTTGTCGTACCACCACTTGTTTTTCAATTTGTCCAAGAGGCCCTGCTCGTTCAGTTTTAACACTGCCAGGTTTACTGGGTTTCTTGAAAATAATATAAAACAATAGCCATTAGGAAACATTCTATGGGACAGATATAAAGAGATTGGTCGCATGGTGGCGGTGATTATGGCAACATTCACTTGCTGTTAGAAACTCCTGCATAAAACTATTGATATGAAGCAGGAGCACTGGCTTTAGATGCAGGTTAGTTGTATATTTACAATGGGCTGAAATGCTGAGCGCCCATACAGAGTCAGGTTTTACCAAGCAGGGGCCTCAGAGGGAGGCAGAGCACACACTAGAAATGGAGACGCCTTGGATCTGGAAGTCTGTCTACAGATGGCAATTTCCTTTCAGCAGCACCAGCATACATATTGCTATGGTAACTATCAATATTCAAGCCATAATGGCATCCTGGTGAATAGAAGGCCCTGCTGATTAATTTCTAACAAATGAATGTTTTAACTATCAGGTTCACTTTAACAACATGTTTCTCTCAAACAGGCTGAAAGGAACTGTGTGACCAACTATACATAGAGTTCTGGACTCAAAACATCTCCCAAGGATTGCTCTCTCTCTCTCTCTCTCCGGTGAGAGTGTGTATGTATTTCCTATAGCTGACAGGCCATGGACAAAGACTCTCTCCATCCACAAATCACAGAAAGGCAGAATCAGTAATCAGAATTTGCATAAAAAGAAGTTGTGATCATGGCCTTTGACAGTTACCTTATCTTTTCTCTCTAATCAGTGTCAGCTCTTCAGTGCAGCAGGGATTTAGTTTGGTTATATTTTGCCTTTCTCGCCAGCAGATGCAGAAGAGCCTTTATCCCCAACCTTAAAGTGCACAACACAGCTGTAGGGAACACAGGTGTCCTCAGAGCTGGTAAAACCTCTGAATTCTTTCTCAGCCCAGCCAACTCAGACACAAAGAAAGAAATCAAAGTGTGTGGACATGGATGGTCGGGAGACCTGCAGGTCGTTGGTTAGTGCGGTCAGCTGTTACGAGGCGAGCAGATGTCAGGGAGGCTACTGCATGTTAGGTAGAATGGGGTAAACAGTCAAGCAGGCATGGAGGTGGCTGGACATTGTACATGTAAGAAATGAAGCAGGGGCCACAGAATATACACAGAACATTAGAAAGTGTTCTTTGAAGATACTCCTGTAAAATAAAGAGTTATGTCGTTTGAGCATCATTGTTTTCAAAGTGCTACTTTCAAATAAGCCTGCACTGCAGTATAAACAGTCGAATCAAATATTTGATCTCAGGATCTGTTGGTAAGGTATCAGCCCCAGTGTTTCCTTACTTAGAAGACCGGATATCAATCAGATGTGATCAAATAACATTACATGCTTAATGGAATACTACAATAGTTTTCATTCTGCACAAAGTTAATTTTGATGCATTAAGCTACTGCTGTTATTCTCCAGTTTTGAAGCTTGTGTTTCACACTAAATGCATTTTAATGTCAAGGTTATGGTAAACATTTACTGTAGAATTGGAAATGGTGAATATGCTATTGGCAGTCATCTAAATGTGATGTAACAAAACCTTTACATGACAGATTTTCTAACATTACACAGGCAAAGTAACATTTGTGCTGTTTATGTCCCTCCATACCTGTATAGACCACCAGTAATCTTTTTACGTGTGTTACAGTACACGCAGAGGTGGAAAGTAACTGAGTACATATATTCAAGTACTGTATTTAAGTACTTCATACTTTGATTTCAGTACATTTTACAGTCAAATTTTGTTTTTTTTACTTCACTACATTTATTTAATAAACTTAGTTACTAGTTACATTTCAGAATCAGATTAATAAAACAAAATAACGTATACTAATACAAGTTAATGATTTCTGGTGGGAATTTCACAAGCTACCCACTAGTGTGTACTTCATATTATATATATATATATACTGTATAAGGTAGTTAACATCAGCTTCGCCTTTAGCTGCTGAAGCATTAAATGTGATTAACATAATGATGCCTCAGTAATTATAATCCACTAACATGATATACATTAATGTGAAACATGCCATTTTGCATAATGAGTGATTTGACTTTTGGTACTTTGAGTATATTTTTGATGTACTTTTACTCAAGTAACATTTTCAATGCAAGACTTTTACATGTGACAGAGTATTTTTACTATGTGGTGTTGATGCTTTACTTAAGTAAAGAATCTGAGAGTCCTTCTTCCACCACTGGTTACCTGTATTAGAAAAAATGAATGAGATGGTTCTTTGGTGGTCCTCCAGTCACAGTATGGTACCCCTAGAGTGTGTAGCCATGGTGGCGGCTGTGAGGCTTTAGGTACAGCTGTGCTTTGAACTACGTCCGCATACTGACACGGTCATATGACAATGCTAACATGCTAATGTTTAGCAGCAATGTTTACCATGTTCGCTACCATAGTTTAGCATGTCAGTACTAAAGTTCATGAAGTACATCCGAGACTGATGCACTTTCACAGGATAAGTGAAACTTTGACCTACAGGCGGTGCTCATAAATGTCTGTGCAAAAATTTCATCAGAATCTAATCAGATCTGAAGATACCAGGAGTTTCTGATGTCGGACTCATTATCTAGAGAGGAAGCTGGACTGGGGCATCCTTAATATGTGGCTGCTTTACAAACTGCAGTGCAGGTATAATTGAAGTCAACCCTTTGGATTCACTGGACATTCATGCATGTCTGATCCTGGTGAACAGCACAATTAGCCAATTTCTACTTCAGTCATAAACATATTTGAATCCTTCAGAATGTCCATCATTTGATACAACACAATCATGAATATTTGTTATCTGTTAATGAAACTCGGTATCAGACGTCTGTGAATGGCCAGAGTGGTAACCTGAGAAAAACAGATGTCACCTGGTTAATAATTAAGACAGAGAGAGGAAGATAATGGGGGCCATCCTCGGCAGGTCAACACCACCTCAGACTACTACATTGTAGCTTTGGACCAATCTGATGACATTCATTTTGCAATTTCCCTTATCGTTAATACAGCACTTTCTTGCAATATGAAATGTAATTTGAAAATAAATGAAATGTAAAATGAAAATAAATTTTAAAAGCAGCCTCTAAGTAAGGCATAGGAAACATTTCTAGTCAGTGTGTTCTGACCTTTGGCTGCCAACCAAGGTGGAACCTCGAATAAATCCTCAGGGACTTTGAATGAAATCTCCCCATATGGCTCCTTTCATTAAAATGAATGAAGTATGTTAGAGTTAGATTAAAAGCTTCAGATGCCGCCAGCTTCTGCGCTCTCTCTGTAGTTGCAGGAGAATTATGAATGGGAAGTTGGGTAAGGTGGTAATGTAATGTGAAATGACAGCTGCTGCTCTTGCACATCATTGGCAGAAGTACATCCAGGATGAATTATCATTCATTACATCAATTATCACATTGAATGTGGCAAATATAAATTGAACTGTGAGCCTTAGCATAAGAGGAAAAGTAGCCTTACGGGATGCGGTCCTTCTAGCTACGATCCTGCTTCAAGGGCCCTTTGGCTTGTGAGATGTACTTTTATATTTTGTGTGTGCTTGTCTGTGCATTTAAGGGGATTCTGTAGGTTCAAGGTAAACCACATAAAGACAGCCACCACAAATGCTCATAAAGTGCAATTAAAAGGCAGCAGGAAAACCGTTGCTCGAAAAGGATCAGGCATCTCATAGTCCTACTTTGTGCTTCTGCTAGTGCTCACAGGTCAGATATGTATTGGCTGGTTATATACATACAGTATGCAGACAGTAAAAATGAACATGTTCAAGTTGTAAATGTGTGATGTATGCAAACAATGAACAAAAGAAGAAAAAGGTTTGGTGGAGTATTGTAAAAACAATAGCATGTCTTATTTGTCTGCTCAAAATGCACTGAAACAATGTTAAACAAAATACTAAGACTGATGTGTTAGTATGATAAAAGGGTGCATAAATAAGTTGAAATCCATGATATATCACAAAAGGACAAACTAATCAGGTCAAGTTGATGTGCAGTCTATGTTCATACATGAGGAAAACTGAGCTCAATGAACAAATCAACAGGTGACAAATGATGCTCATGCACAAATACCAATAAAAGCACTTTGAGGCTTTTATCCAGCCACCCTACAGCAGCAGAGGTTTACCTGAGAGGGGAGCCCTTGGGTGTGGCGATGCCATAACCTTTAGAGTCCAGGTTCCCTCCCACCTTCATGGTATCGCAGGGTTTCCTCTGCTCTATGTACTCGTTCATAGTAGACTCCAGCAGGTAGGCATACTTGCCCTTGGACTTCCTGACTCTCATTACGCCCTCGTCCGTCGTCTTGACAAACACGGACGGGTCGGCGGCCTTCATGTAGGACCACATTTTCTCAAACACAGCGATCTTAGACCTCTGATAGCGTAAATGAGAGAAAAATGCAAAGCCAGAGGTGACTCTGTCAGTGTGAATACGTCATTATCCATCTTCGTATGCTGTGTGATGTCTTAAAGATATACACCTTATATTTTTCATTAAATCAAATCCCATTTTTGATGCTATTTATGGTCAGAATGTTTTCAATAATATCCATTCCCTGGTTTTATTTCTGTCATTATCTGCCAGTAGTTTTTATTGTTGATGGCGGAGTGCATCGTTCCCATGCTGAACTCAACGCATGAGATATTCACAGGAAATGACACATGCATGTAAGGCAATATTATTGTTTGTAACTTTATCTTATTGATTTCAGCCTTCATGTTTACTTGTCACTCTTCTAGCACTGTAGTAGATTTGCATAAAGTTACCGGTAAAGGAAACTGAAGATCCAATTGCTGTTGTTTCACATTAAAAGCATTCAAATGAAGAAACAAATACTGGCTTGTATTATGGAGTAATCAAGAAACACAACATAATGTATATGACAATGAGGTTAATGTTTGGATCTTTGTTTCTCACCCTGAAGAATTCTTTGGTGGAGCCGGCGTCCAGTGTTCCATAGGCGATCTCCGTCTGCTTTGCCAAATCCTCTGCACTTTCTATAGGAGACACCATCCTCTCCACTGTCAGGAAGGCAGCTAAGTTGGCAGTATAGGATGAGATGATGATGAGGGTGAAGAACCACCACACGCCTCCGACAATGCGGCCTGACAAAGATCTAAAAACAGATGGACAGGATGTTTGGTTGGTCAATAATAGATACATAAGAGACATGGTATGTTTACATGACTGTGTGCTGTATATATCTTCACTTCATGAATGTGGTGCCATTTTACCAGCAAAACCAATTACTGTATATGCTAATGTGATGACTTAGGCAATAAATAGCATCAGCCTTTTTCTTCCTGGCCAATTTTGCACACAATCATGAAATGCAATCTGAAAACATTGCGATGTTCACTCCATCCAAATGACCTACATTGCATCGCACATAATCAAATGCTCTCCGTTCCACCAGGCTATGAGAGTATAGCCCAATGTGCTGTGAAAGGATAATCATTACCACAAAAGCCCACTCAGCTTCTTGTCTGCCAAATTAATCTCATTTTAGGAAAGTTGCCAATATGCTTCATGAACCACGCACATTAATTGTCGGGGTTTAAAAGGCAGAAGAGAACACTTAGCCACTGCTTTAATTGCGCTTTTTAAAAAAAAGCGAAACAAAAGGATGATTTCAGAAGAAAATCCCTTAACTCAAATCCCCGTCTTTCCTCCCTGCACCCCAAGAGAAGCCAACTTGAGCAGCAAAAGCAAAAATCATGTTGCGTTACATTTCAGGTACTCGACAAGTGTGGAGGCACAGAGTGAGGGAGCTTACGCAATGAAAATGACACAAATCTGAAACAAAAAAAAAGTCTTTCATGATTCACCTTTGTGCCGTCAATCCAAATAGAGTATGGACGTGAAAGTGAGATTAAGTATGGAGAGAGAGAAAAAAAAGCTAAAACATAATCACTTAAGATGCTTTTCAGATGACGGGTGGATGATGAAAGAGCAGTCGGAGAGTGAGTGAAGAGCAAACGCAGAATGGATGCTGAGCCTTTGAACATCAGTCTGCGGGGTATGTGTATTTTGACTTGTTCACTGCTCGCTGCACAGATGGGTGTGGGTAATGTTAAGCTGTAGAAAACAACATGCAAATACCTCAGTGAATGTTTAATACTGCAGTAAATCATTCACAGGCGAGCAATTGACTCTCCTATGTCAGAAGCGATAATTTTGGCTCTCTACAGTTACAGAACCAAACATTCTGCACAATGTCAATCAGTTACAGTTATTTGCAGCAATTCATCTTTGGACTGTAATCAGGCAAAATTCATATAGACAAACAGCACAGGTGTCTTTTCAATGTAAACATGTCTGGAAAAAAACCACTAATCACAATAACTATTACATTACTGACTGCACTACATTGCTGTTTGAATTGCACCTCATTACTACTCAGTCCTCTTGCTTAGACTTCTGTGAAAAGAGGAACAACTTGGCAAACAAAGAAATGCCCTATGACTGGATTGATTGAGTGAAATGTGCTGAAACAACAATAGAAGCGAGACAGAGAGGGAAAATGGCAGAGGTGAACGTAAACTGGATAGTACCACCAGAGGCTGACAAACTCCTTAGCTTTGACTGCTGCTGGCCTCCTGAGATGGCAGTAAACAGCTGTCTAATCCTTCTCCTTCAATCGCCCTTTTCCTTCTTTTTCTCTCTCTCTCTCTCTTTTCTTTTTCCTCCCCTCTCCATCCACTTTACATCCCCGCCTGTCTCTTCATGTGCTGGGGGAGCTGACAGGCTTTTGTTTTGGACCAATATAACGGCCTACACCTTGCCACTGACACTGAAAAATTCAAGTATGCACACGCACACACACGCACACTTGTACTTCTAGCTTTGTAAAGACACTCTTTGACACAATGCATTCCCTAGCCCCTTACCCCTAACCTTAACCATCAGAGCTAAACACCTAACTCGAACCTGACCCCTCAAAAAGATGGTTTGTCCGAGCAAAATGTCCTCACTTTCCACAAATGTCCACACTCTGTGGAAAAAAAAAAAAGTTTTTGGTCCTCACTATATAGCACGTACAAGAACACACACACACACACAGCTGGAAAAATGGAGACACTTCTTTTCTGAGTACAGTGTAAGTTTGTGTGTGTGATTGTGAACAACTAAGTCACCACTGACTGTGACTGGGATGAGGAGAAAGAAAGGGACTGTGTGTGATGTGTGTGTGGCAGAGAGAGAGAGAGAGAGAGAGATGCTTGTGTCTGTGTGTGGGTGTGTGTTGATTCTCCTGCAGCAGTCCTCCTCCCTAGTAAAGCAGAATGACTGGCAAACACAGACCTGTTTGTCTCTGTTTGTTTCCCTTTGAACTGGCTTCCTTCGAGCCTCCTTTCTCCTCATACACTATACATGGTGCCTCAGTAAAACATTAACTAAGGTGTCTTCTTACTCTACAGTGAGGGAAATCTTCCAAGTAGCACTGTAATTTCATAGCCTTGTTAAAGCTATGATTAATCAATTATTCACTCTACCTGTTTTATTAGATTACTAAGAAAAGTCATTGTAATAGGGGCTGCAAAAGTAGTAGCTCAGCATCAGTGATGTATATAAATACAATAGAACTGCATTTGCACATCATTAGTGCTGAAACAACTTTTTGATAATTGGACTTTAACAAGAAGCTGAAGAGTTGAAGCTTGTAAATCTTTTTCTTTTTTTTCCCAAACTAAACTTGGAATCAGAATAAAATGTCAAGATAACACTCTGGGCTCCGGAAAGGTGGAACTGTCATAGGAGAGTTTATAGAATAAATACTAGAGTAAAAAAAAAAAAAAAAATCAACTGATTGATAAAACTCGAGCACATTCAAATCCCTTTCTGAATGAATATGTATTTAACATTTAACAATTATAGGTAAGACAGGATAAAAATAATTACACATTTGAGATGTGGAAGTCAAAGACACGCTGTGAAAAGAAAGAGAAGTCTTGTTGTATACACACATGCAGCAGCAGCTGAGCTAACAGCTAAAAAAAACTACCATGGAAAGCACAACACAGTGGCTTGTGTCTTAAATAACTTGGCACATAATAATGGATCCAAATCCCCACATGTCCCATTGTATTACATGCTGGGGGCAGGCTGGAGAAACAATCAATAAACCACTCGAGCCCTTCTACAAGCAAACCTTCAACTTAGATTAAAAACCCAATTCAGTGTCACCACTGTAGGGTACTGGAGCTTTGAAAATGTTAGGTGACATTTAAAACTGTGTCCTGTGGAAAGGTTTTACTGTACATGGTTTGGCCCCGCCTCCATTATGTGACTTTGTTCACTTGGGGTACTTTAGAACACTCCACCAGATGACTTACAAAGTTGAGAAGCTAAAAGATAACAGCTACTGTAACTCTAATATTGGTTTAACTTTGTATACAAACATCCTGGGTCTAATTTGTTTAGCATAAACTACATATCATGTCTTATTTGGTCAGATCGTTCCTTTGCTCCATGAATCTGATGGCCTGATATTCACATAAGAGGTGAGAAAAATATGCTGCAGTACTATTTTGTCATTTTGCTGCACAATATGTGTGGCACTTTTCATGTGAACAAGAATATGCAAATGATTCGCGGCATCTCTTCTCACTCTATGCAGCTGTTGTTACACCTCCTTGGAGTATGGCTGTTCAGAACAAGGATAAATACTTTTCAACTGGTCGAACAGCATAACATATGACCTTGCTGATACAGAGTGCGACCTTCCCCTCACACCTCATTTATATTTTGGCCACTTGATGACAGTAGCAACCTTGGCATGTTATCACCTCAAAAGGTTGATACTGAAAAAGTGCCAGCTGAGTCTTATTTACATTTCCAGCACACACAGAGCAATTGAGAAAACTGAACACTCCAAAGTAAGACCAAACCCAAACAGTAAAACTGCAGGCAGTAAAATGGAAACAATGAGCAGAAATGCTCATTGAGCATTGAGTCAGGTGATAATTCTTTGTGGGTTTGTTGTGATGGGTGAGTGATTTCACATGCAGTCATTTAAAATATTAATTATAGTAGCCTTAATGAATCCAGGTATTTAACCAACACTGTGTCGGTGTGTTGATATAGCCCCTGATCAGGCTGAGATCAGTAGCTTTGAGTAGGATTCCCCCTGAACTGAGGCAGCTGAAAGGCAACAACAATAAAAACACACTCCCCTCAGAAAAACAACAAAAAGTGTGCCACCATATGCTAATATGCTGATGATACTTTCTTCCCTTTCCTCAAAGCTGCCCAACCATCTCCTCGTGAGAGAGATCTGAAGCCGAAGGGCCACAGCTCCTATTTAAACTGCCCTCATCTGAAGTTACAGCGATGCCACGGTGATGTCGCATCGCATGACTGATGAGGACCAACCACATGACTGAACTGAACCTAAGTTCACAAGCCTGCAAACCAAAAAAAAAATCATTTATGTTAAAAAATGTCACAAATTAAACTGAAAGGACTGAGTACTTTACACATACTATACACACTGATTCAGCATCAGGGTGAATAAATGATCATCTCAGTCTTCTTAATTTAACACAACTGCACAAAATAAACATTTATGTTCTGCTTGTACAGCACTTTTCATAAACGTATGATTGAGTATATGTGTTTGTTTTTATAGCAGGCTACAGCAATGGCTCAAACTATATTTAAAGATTATTATTTATACTTTATTTCAGTGAATTCCACAAAGTCCAACACTTCTCCACATTTATGGTAATTCATGATGGAAAGCAAAAAGAACTGGACCACCTCTCAAAGTCAAATCCATATCCTCATCTCTTTGCTATATGATCTCCACTCACAGCTCCCAAAGAATCCGCTGTAGCACTAAACTCCCAGAATCCCCCCTGGTTGGCCTTCTCCCTACGATATGGTAATTATTAATGACTAATGACTTAAGCAAGTGTAAAAAATGAGGCAGTAATGGCCACATTAGAATGGACTAGAAATTACAGAGGTTTAAATGAGAAAGAAAATGGCCTCTAATTATGGTGTGATTCTAAGCCAAATCAAGGATGGAAAAGAAGTTTTCCGTTACACAATTTTACTTATTTATTTATTTTTGCTTTTTATAAATTCACAAGACAACTGTAGGTGCAGCCAGTC